CGGAAGAGATCCGTTAAGCAACTAGCTTGGAGAATTTAAAAAAAGCGACCAGAACGGATCTCTTCTGGCAAGCCTTCCTTGAATAGATCAGACCTATTTAACAGATGTCTCTCCCTCTCCCTCTCCCTCTTTTAAAATCACATAATTCTATAATTCTGTGTTCTTATATTTATAATGTTTATGTTTGTTATTTATAACTACTGGGGTGGTTTTATAATTACTGGTGAATACACCAGCTATTTTAATTTATAACCGGTATTATATGTAATTTTAAAGGGGGGGGGTAATTTGTTTTATTATGTCATAAAGTATGTTGTATGCTCTTTTTTATCTTTATTTTTTTACTGTTTTTATTGTATAAACAAAGAATCTTACAACAGTATTCTACAAAGCTCAATAATTGATCAAAATAAAATGCATGATTCACAAGGTTACAAAGTTACAAGACCCTTTACTTTTTCATTTAGATTACTCTTGATCTGACACAATTCTATATTTCCAATGTATCCCATCTATATGTTGTTTGTCTTAATTTTTGCTTTTCAAAATTTCCTATTATCTCAAACTATTGTTTTTCTTTCTATTTTTGATGTTTATTTATTGTTGTTTTTAATATATCATTGTTATTTTAATGTTCTTGTTATTCTTAGTCATGTCCTATGTCACAATATGCATACAGAAGCTTGAACTGTACATATTCTTCATTAGCTGATTTTCCTTCAATAGTATCTAATCCTTTGTCCATTTCTGAAATGTCAATCAGTTTATATAAACAGCTATTTATGTTGGGTATATCCTCTGTTTTCTACTTACTAGCAATCAGGATTCTGGCTGTTGTTACCATATATAATATGTTCCACAATCTTTTTCTTCTTTTGTTGTTATATCCTGTATCATATTTAGTAGGTAAATCTCAGGTGTGCATTCGAACGATATGCCTAAAATTTCACATATCGTTTCGTGTAGATCTTTCCAAAATTTTTCAATCAGAGGATAGGTCCACCACATATGGTACCACGTATCAGGTGCCTTATGGCATTTCTAGCAAGTATAGTTGTCATTTTTGTATATTTTTGCTAGCCTTACTGGGGTTAGATGCCATCTTATTTCCATTTTAAACAAAATTTCATGCATTAGTTGGTTTTTGGTGAACTTATAAGTTGCTTGTCTTGCACTAGACCATTTTTCCAAAGGGATTTCTTTACCTATATTTCTCGCCCAGCTTAACATATGCTCTTTCACGATTTCATCCTCCAGTTTTCTGGCTAGTAAGATTTTAACAATTTAGCAATTACTTTGGAGTTTTCAGATAATAAAATGTTATCCACTTCGTTCTTGGCTAGGTATATCCCATAGGTTTTAACATCCGATTTAAACATGCTATGTAGTTGGAGATATTGAAACCAAGTAAAGCTTGAATCAAAGCCCTTGATGATATCTAATTCTTTTAGTTCCATGTTCACACTTCTTTTATTCTGCATTATAGCATCTTCATAGCTTAGCCATTTTTAATTGATTTGAATCTGCTTAGCATGGCCTCCTGTGGGGACAACCATCATCGTAGACCACGGTAGAAGTTTGCTTTAACTTTGTCCCAGATCTTTATGAGAGCGCTCCATCATATATGTTGGCTAAAATTTTGATGCACTTTTTGTTTATTGTACCAAAGGTACGTGTGCCATCCATATTGTATGCTCGTTTTGAGTAACTGTTAGCCACCTTGATTGCCTAACAGGCAAAAGGCAAGATACAAGAATAAAGTTTACTGTATATATATATGGCAGTATAGGCGCTCCATTCTATTTGCAATTATTTGCAATTACTTACAAGTGGTGAGCCTGGTGAGTGGACTGACTGTGGCTCAGTGAGACAAGTAATTACAAAAACAATGGAGCACATATGTTGTCAATTTTTTTTAAAAAAATTGCATGCATCCCAGGGGAGAGTCTTCCATGACACCAATGGACCCATGCATCCTGGGGAGAGTCCTCCATGGATCCATGCATCCCGGGGGAGAGTCCTCCATGACACCCATGCATACATCCCAGGGGAGAGTCCTCCATGACACACATGGATCCATGCATACCAGGGGAAAATCCTCCATGACACCCATGGATCCATGCATCCCAGGGGAGAATTCTGGTCATGGCACCCATGATTCCCTCCTATGTGTTTCTTGAATGTGTTGCTGGTTGTGTCGCTGATGACACATAGATGATTGACAGAATTTTGAAATGGCACATACTAGTGTGAATGACAATTGTGCCAAAAAAGAAGCAAATTAAAAAAAAAATGACAATTGTGCCAAAAAAGAAGCAAATTAAAAAAAAAACAACCTGCTTCCATAGTGGGAACAATGCATCAACTGGAATCGATTCACTGACCTGGAGTGAAAGTAAATCACAAACTGGTTTAAATGGAAGTGGGAATGAGCCCTTAGTGCAAGGAGGTCCAAGGCTGCCCTACTTCCTGACTTATTTCCTTGTCAGTGGTATTTTTGAAAGAGAATCACATGAATCCAAATTCACACCTTGAAGAGTTAGGTGTCATTTTCTGGAAATATATAGGTATAAACAGTTGAGTGTTGGATGACTCTGCAAACTAGAGTTTGATGCCCAGCTTGGCCATGAAACCCACTGGGTGATCTTGGGTAGATCTCATTTTCTCAGCTACAGGGGAAGGCAATGACAAATCTCCTGAGCAAATCTTGCCAAGAAAAACCCATGACAGGGCTGCCATAAGACTTGAAGGCATAAAGCAGCACCAAACAGTTGAAGTGAGTGTTCTATAGAAATTAATAAAATTGCTGTAGAAGTTGAGTATTTCTGGCAAGACTGTAAATCAAATTTGATACAGACTGTAACATGGAAAACCATGTTCTAAAAGACCTGATGTGAATAAATAGACTACGGGTCAAAGAGTCTAGCAGTTTTTCTTTTTCCATATACAAATCAGAATAAAGGAAGAAACTCCTTTCTTTCTTTCCTCCCTTTTTTTGTAGCTCTATTTCAGGACTCTGTAAACTGCTGCAACTAATATTAAGAAGCCATCCTCCTTTCTCATCAGTCCTTTTTATTCAGCATACAGAGATCTGTCATGCCTCTTATTCAGCTTCCTAGGAAATGCATGTACTGGTACAGCCGTTGGATACTTAACAGTGTTGCATTACAGGAACCTTTTGTGGGAGGCTCATTTTTTATAAGTCCTATAACTCTAGAGGCAATCTAAAATGAGGTAGCCTGCACCCCTGCCCACAGAAAAAGATAGTTGCTTTTACCCCCTGCCAGCATTACATCTTCTGTCACCTACTGCTGTGGCAGTGAAGATGCCTTAGACTCTTTGCACTTATAAAATATATATTTTTCTCATCCCAGTTCTTTATTTAATAAAATGACAAACCACATAGCTTACTTTTCTTTTTGGACTTATCAAAGGAGTGATTATCAGGGCCACTGCATCCACAACATTTTTAGATGCACAACCCAGACCTGGAAATGACAAGTATCCACATAACAAACTGGACAAATAATCTTAGCCAACATTTAGGATTGGTTTGTGCGAATATGGTTGTCTATGGTTGATGAATAGCCATAAATGGATTCAAATATAATACCATACCAAGACGGCCTCTTGTTGTTGTGTGGATCCAAATCATTTCTGACTTATGGAGAACCCCAGTTGGTTTTATTGGCAAGATTTGCATTTGCTTTCCTCTGAGGCTCAGAGACTGCCAATTGCCCACGGTTACCCAGTGGGTTTCCATGGGTGAGTTGGGATTTGAACCTTAGTCCAGTGCTCAAACTACTGTACCATTCTGGTTCTCCACAGAAGGCAATGAGAATCCATTGTAGATTTCCCAGAATGCACTCCTCTGGAGAGAATTTGGTGGGTTATAGATGTTACCACTGGTGGATAACCAGTACCAGGTACCAGTAAAGGCGGGGGGCACCGAAGTAATATCCTATTCTATGTCAACATTCAAGGTAATATATTTAAAACAATGACACTAACTGTAACACGTTACTCAGAGGGATAAAGGATTTTTTTGGATGGGGCAAAATAATGTAATTACTGGTAGCTTAGTTACTTTTGTAATAAATAATGCTTACTTGCTACCTTTTGTTTTGGGGGAATTTTGTTTATTTTTCTCTATATAACTAGATTCTTATTAAAAAGGTAAAATGAAAAAGGAATGTGGTATTAGTGATAAGTTATTAAAGTTAATAAGTAAATTATGAGTTGCTGGAAAAATTAAAAAAAAAAACAATGAGTAATGCCTGATATGTTACTTTCCAAGAATAGCATTTAATATTCTATGCTCACAATAAAGCAACTTCATTATTCAACATCCACAGTGGTTTTTCAGAAAGGACCCAGAGGTAAGAAATCAAGATTCCTGCCTCATTCTATAGACATTTCTCTCTCTCTCTCTCTCTAAGAAAGTCATATGTTGAGATGTCTCCATGTTGTAATAATCTTCCCATTCCCCTACACTGTTATACCACTTCAGCATTCTCACTACTAAGGGATGCCAGGCTTTTTTTCAGTTCATCCCATGACATAAATATACTTTCCCCTGACATCTTTTGAAGTCCACAACACCTTACAGTGTCAATAGTTTTTTACATATAGTAGGATGAAAATAGCATTGTAGTCCCATGTACAATTTGCAATATCTATGTCCACTATGTAACTATTTAAGGATTGATTTATCTATGTCCATTTAACATGCTATAAAGTCATTCACTATTATTCCCAGAACAGTCTACAATTTAAAAATTACACAGTTATTTTCATATGCTGCTTGACATAATGTACACAGTTCACATACATTACTCCCTGTTACACATATCTGAATACAATTTTGTCTAATCTGTGAAAATTAGGAACGTCTGGGCTATAGGGATGTTCTTGGCAAGATTTGTTCAGAGGAGGTTTGCCATTGTCTTCCCCTAAGGCTGAGAGCATGTAACTTGACCAAAGTTACCCAGTGGGTTTCATGGCTGATCTGGGAATCGAACTCTGGTCTCCAGAGTCATAATCCAGCACTCATACCACTACACCACAGGCTTTCTGAATTGTAGAGTTGACAGTTGGTGGGATGTCAATGGGATAGTACATCTACTCTACATTTTTAGCTTTTAAAGAGCTATCCAAGGTGTTGAACCCTATCTACAAAAGAGTTTCTAAACCTTGAATATCTCCTTTAAATTTCACAAGCTATCCAAAACCTAAAGCAAATTCAAAACCACACAGATACAGAATTCACCAATCACTGTTTTGGAGATGTACATTTTGAGCCTATGCAGGCATGCTTGGCAATACATGGAACCCAAACCAACGGATGTGGGAAGATCGTACAGCCATTATCTGTCATCCATAGACCTGGAATGCCCACGCAGGGTTAATTTTATACCATTCCTTTGTTATCTGATGACCTGGTAAAACAGTCTGCAACAATAGAGAATAAAAGTGATGGAAGTCACTGAAATGGTTATGCCAATTTATACTGACTCTTATTCCCAGAAGAGCTTGCATATAAATAGTTTGGCTGTGTGGTTAGATGCTAGCAGAAATTCAGTTTGTCTTATTGTTCCCCAGGGATTGGAATAAACAATTCATCTCAGTGTGTATACCAGGATGTTAAGAAGATGCTAATGAAAACACCTTAAAATGTCAATAGCTGTAAATAAATCATAATGTTTATAAATGCTATTTAATTCCATATGGTATTTAACAAAAAACAGGAGGAAGGTGCCCGACAGCAATCTGAACAATGCTTGTCCTAAGAAATGGTAGAATATGTCGTTGTTTTAAGGCATTACACTAAAGCTTTCCTTCCATTCTTCACCTTCTTTGTCAAAATGTGGTATCGACTGTCTACGTACATGACAAAGCCCTATAAAATATGCCTTCCAGTGTCTTTGATGGGATGACTGTAGTACATTTTAAAGTGTTTTCATATTGAAAATGGAAGGCAACTATTAAAGTGTAATGGCACAGAACATCTTATAGGGTGGGGGAAGGAGGAGAAAGCAAATGCCTTGTACGGGTTCTCATTTATGGCTGATATTTATTGCCTTTGCATTCTTATGGTATGCCTCTAAGTCAATTGAAATGCAAGTGCTAATGAAACCTCTACCATCACATTCATTCTCTTCCTCCACCAAATGAGTCTACAAGAAGATGTAAATGACTTACATATATCTGCAACTCAGGTTTTATTGTTTTAGGTTAATTTATTTTCTGTAATATTCTTAATGAAAGTAATGACTCTTACACTAGTTTGTATAGTCACATCCTGCAATTTTATTAAATCATGCTGCGAAAATGCATATTGGCTGCCCTAAACATTTCTGAAGTTTTCATATTATGTCTAATATATACAGGCAATCTTCCAAACAATTATCAGCACAGTATATTTTGTTATCCTTTGTTCCTAATTTCATCTCACTAGGGTATATCCACTGTAAATAGCTGCTGAAAACTGGAGAAGCTGTAACATGGCTGCTAGGTTGTATGTCCCACAGAATATTGGGAATATAGATATATTGCAGAAAGAGAAACTAATATAGCAAATTAGTTTCTGAACATTTTCATTTCATCTGTGTGTTTGCTACAAAAATGATATTAATCTAAAAACATTTCATTTGGACAGAAGAATTGTATCATTTTTTTTGTTAGCATCTGAATTAATCAAATTGTACCTCATAAAAGAAAAAGAGAAATCTCATGGTTATCTCTTGGGCATTCAAGAATCCATTCCTATGAAAGGAGTAGCACAGGTGGGAAACGTGGTTAAGAAAAATGTAAAAACTTTGCCTTTTTTCCAAACATTAGGTCTTTTCTTTAAGTACTATAAAGGATTGCTAAAACTAACGCAATACTATCCAGCAATTGTTAAATTCCAGATCCCTGTGTTGCTGTTTTAGAGTAAACACTTAAAAACAGGGTGATTTGATATCAGACAAATTGATTGTGATATTTGTGTGTGTGTGGAATAAAATCCATTTTGCATAGTGGGTGACAGATACACCTATGTATACTGAATTGTAAATGATGACAAAACGCTAAAAAAAGTTAAAAGTACAATCTGTGTAATTTCTATTTCAGCTCAACTACAAACCCAACCTTTTAACAGGGCAGACAATTTAAATAGGCAATCTCCCACAATACTCTATATACCACCAACCACTTTTGTGCAATATATTTTGCGCCAGTTTGAAAGACATAAACCTCTGAAGGGAATATACACCTAGAAATTCCCCCATGTAGAGAGCAGTCCTGTTTTGTCAGTGCTTCTAACTCCATGGCAAGTGTCAGGATTGAGAGATGGAACAGGGAAGTTCAGACAGTCTGGTCAAACATTCACTATTGCTTTGAATTTCTGGCTTCTCAGCTCTAGCAAAATGGTCCCTAAGGCACAGCAACTTCTGTTGCCACCTCCTTCTTCCAATCAACCTGGCCTGGGGACTCCCAGATATCAAAACATCCCTGAGAGTCAAAGGATATAAGGGGGGAGGAATTATTACTTCTGTTGTTCAATTAGTCATAAACAAAACCTTTACTCAACTGCAATGACTCCAAAGGCTGACAAATTTCAGTTTTAGATTATATGTTTGAAGAATCACCACTGCACACAATATACCAAAGGAGGTAGGTTTATTATGGCTCAGAAGAAAAGAAAGCCATTTGGAGAATCCGTGTCAGACAAATTTAAGAAAACTTAACTGACTCCCTTATCAATACATACCGAAGATGGATCCGCTCAGAATATATACGTTATTCAGGACCAAAGCAGCACAAGGATGGACCCATGAACACATGCATGCTAGGGTGAGACAAAGACAGGAGACAAAGACATAATTCCAACTTTTATCCGCAAACCTCTCAGCAACCAAAGGCATACTTAATGAGCCAATCCCAGCTTGAGCAGCCATGGTGATCCTACACTCTGTCACAGGGCAAGATAAGATAATACATAACTACTGAGGCAGAGTGTTCCTATTTTCTTGCGAAAGTAGCTGAGTATGGTTGCACTAATGAACCCTCAGTTCAGGCGTTGAGAATCTTAGCCAGGAGGGAAGACCAGTGAACCAAATGCTTAAGTAGTGATGTAAATTTCTCTCTTTATTGGTCCTGTCCCTGAAAGGGTTGGGAAGTCCGCCCCTTTGGAGCAGCGTCCCACTGCTCCTTTCATCCCTGGATTGGGACCATGGCAACCACACACTGTGGATCCAATCTGGGACTTTGCTGGCCCAAAAGGACCAGAAAAATGCCACTTCTTTTTAAAGTGACGAAAAGCTGTTCTTGCTGTGGCAGCGGAGGCTTTTCTGGATTTCTTTGGCACAGAGTGTCTAAATGTTGTGCCAAAGAAATGGCATGATGTCACCCACCTGTGGATAGGTGGGCGAGCAGCGTGATGCTGGCATTAATGCAGCATCGGGATGGATGGCATGCAGTCGTCATGCCCCCATTCTGCCCCAATGCCAACGTTTAACACCGGTCTGTTTAGGGCCTTTATTACTCTTACTCCTTGTGGAGAGGGAGCTATTTCAACTTGGTCATTCCTCACCATTCCTGACAAATTCACAAAGAATGAGGGCTATAAAAAACCCAGCTGGTTCTCCTTCACTAACTCTTCTTGCAATTAGCAATGTGAACCATAAAACTTCATTGGAAATGTTTAGCAATGAAGGATGGCCTGTGTTTATCTTTACAATGGAATTCTCTCTCCTCCTTCCCCTTCTAAGAAGTGATCAGGTGGAAAACCTGGGAAGTCTACAACAGTTTCTCTGAAGCAGTCCATAGCCATAAAGGGCACAAGCAGTTAGAAAGAAAACTCTTCTAGTAGCATTCTCATCCTGAGATCCTTCCCTTCACTTTGAAACCTGGAGGGCCTAGCTCTGATCTCTGAGAACTATAGTCTCATTAAGATCCCTGCTGTCCTTGCATGAAGACCTGAAATTACTTAACTCCACTGCAAATGCAGGCTCTCCCAGCTCCTTGGCTTTTTTTCTTTCTCATAGGGAGTGGCAGGGGATTACGGATGGAAAAAATATTCAAAAATATTTTTAAATGGTCAAAAACAAAGAGAATCCTGGACTGATGAGAATCTTGGCAGTTTGGCATTTATTCTGTGCAAAAACCACATGTGGTTGTTTTGTGCACAAAATAACACTTTCTTTACAGGAAACAACAGTTTTTGTGTAGAAAATAATATTTCAATACAGAAATATTAATTTCTCTGCAGAAAATGTTGTTTTATGCATAGGAAAAGCTGTAGTTGAGAATTTGTTCTGTGTAAAATTTGCATATAGTTGATTTGCATAGAAAACAACATTTTTTTGCACTGAGAACAGCATTTTCTGCACAGGAATTAATATTTTGGTATAGTAGTTAAGATGCCAAATCTGACAGTCATAAGGTCAGAGAGTTGGCAGTTTGAGGCCTAAGTGCCATGTAATGGATTGAGCTCCTGTCACTAGTCCCAGTTTCTACCAACCTTGAAGTTTGAAAGCATGCAAATGCAAGTAGACAAATAGGTACCCCTTTGGTGGGAAGGTAACAGCATTCTGTGCAGTCATGCTGGCCACATGACCACTGGAGTTGTCTTCAGACAATGCTGGCTCTTCTTAGTAATGGAGATTAGTACCATCCCCTACAGTCAGTTATGACTAGAGATTCATGTCAAGGGGAAACCTTTACCTTTACTGTTTATTGAAATAGTATTTTCCCTGCAGAAAATGCTGTTTCCTGCATGAAAATGTTATTTTCTATGGAAAACATCCATATGATAATTTTGTGTAGAATAAGTCTGGAGCTGTTAATATGCTTTGCAAACCGCATGGTTTTCAATAACTTACAGTCGGAAGAAAATTATTGAAATTATTTGCTGCTACCTTTCAGACAAAATGTAGTGAATAATTATATCCCCACACAGGACTTTAGCACAATGCTTGCCATATAATGCATGTGGACCTTATAACAATTGTGCCCAGTACATTTCTGTTAATAATGTCAGATTGTAATACATTAGAATCATAGAATCATAGAATCATAGAGTTGGA